TAACGGGATGTGTTTGCAAGGTATACGGATGCACCGTGAGCTGGCTTACACGCAAGCAGCAAACGGTCGCCTTATCGTCCACCGAAGCAGAACTGGCAGCGTTGTGTACGGCCACGTGTCAGGTCGTTTGGATGAAGAGGATGCTTGGAGATCTTGGATGTTCAATCGAGGGTCCCATTCCAGTTTTTGAGGACAATCAGTCCACCATTCGCATTGCTGAGGATTCGAAGGACTATGGTCGACTCAAGCACGTGGACACCAAATTTCATTTCCTACGTGATCTTGTGCAGCAGGGTGTCATCATCATCAAGTTCGTGCGTTCTTCAGAGCAAGAAGCAGACATCATGACAAAGGGTCTTTCGGTCACCGCCTTCAGAGGACTCCGCACCAGGCTGGGACTGGAGACTACCGTGGTTAAGCAGGGGTGTTAAGAGTGTAACCACAGTGTACTAGTTGCCCCTACCTTTGGTACGCCCCTGTGCGTTTTTCTACTACATCATTCGCTCATAGTAAACAAAAGTAAAACACGTTTCAATAAAGTTCAATTTCGTTTTTCCTTAAATCGCTATTTTTCTCGGTTTATTTTCCTCCTGGTGTATCCGAAACCACTTCAACGATCGCTGTCAGAAATGACAGACGTCAGGTTTGGTTCAACGGAACTGTGAACTCACAATTCCGTTGAAACAAACCTTAGATAGGTCGGAGTATGAACGAGAAAAAAAGAGGAAAAGAAGATACAATTCCAAACCATTTAAAAAACGTTTTACAGCTAAATTATTTTAATTGCCTAAATTTGTTAATATACCTATCGTTTAATTAAATTGTAGTTATTTGTAGTGAACTAGCTACCAACAATCAATACGAAACTAACGATTTTAAATTGGCTCACTACTTGACTTGCCTATTGGTCCCAATCAAATCGATGAACTTACCTCATTCTAGTCAAAATTATAGTACTACACAATGTTTGTTTTGATTCGCTATGAAAGTTTGACAGGTAAAATGAGGGGTTCGTGGATTTTCCTATGTTTCGAGGGGTGCATCGATAAGCTTGGGACCGAAGATAGTACCAGAGCTTAGCCAAAAAGTTGAGCACATTTCTTCGGGACCTTCTGGTCTTAAAGTTACCTCTATGTAGCTACTGAAGTAGGTTAGTTGGAGGTGGAATGCGTGCAAATATTGAATTTAATAACCCTATATTTGCTTAATCTAGATACTACAGTTTGATCCTAAAATCTGGTAACCTACAATTTGTTCCTAAACGCTATATACATGATTTACCCTAAGTATCTAGTAAGTAGCTCATTCTACATCGTTTGCGTGCCTAACTAAAATAATAATTGATTCCCTAAATGCTAAATCTAGCCAAATCTTTGTTGAAAGAGTGACGGAAGATAGCTCTCGGTTTGAAAATCTCCCGCTCAGCCTCCTATCGCATTTCATGGAGGAATTTCTCTTCCTCCAGCGCTTTCTTATTTACGCTTTTCTCCTGCAGAAACTGGTCCAGGGATTTTTCCAGGCTGACCACATTGGTACTACCTTTTCCAGATTCGGTTGCGGCATCACTCCTCACTCTATTATTTCTGCTAGGTGGTTTATTTGAGACAGACTTCTTGGTTCCTTTTGCCACCTTATAAGCATTAAGATTGGTTTTGATTTTATATTAGTTTAATAAAACCTATTTCAGCTTCAAACTGTCCAAAACGAGACTGCTCTGAGGAAGTTGCTTTCATTAATACGAACATGGCTATATCTTTAAGTGCGCAAATATGATTTTCTATGGATCACTTTCTTTAGTTTAAGGTTCACTGCTGAATGTATTATGGATCAATTGCATTATGTTTATGGGTAATTCGTACAATTTCAATGCTCATTCCTTAGAAATTTAGTGGTACATTTTTACAATTGTGTTGCTAAATTTCACATTAAATATGGATCATATTGATATTTTTTATGGATCATTCACACTTTGTTAAGGATTTTCTCCGAAGTTTTATGGATCATTTGGATGTTTTTTATAGAACGTTTTCCAATATTTTATGGATCATTTATTGGTTTTTATGTTCAAAAGTATGTTTGCCATAAACCGCGAATTCACGAATTTCACCGCACCCAACTGCGAAACACGTTCTGAAGCACTTTTAATACAATTTCGATCAATTTCTTTCGAAAACACAACAAAAAAGTTACAAGCGAGCCAACATCAACACCGATTGTGCCGAGCTCTTTCACGCACCTTGCAGCATGTAAATAAACTGAAATAAAAAATTATCACTCGCGATGCCACTAATTTCTGGTCCGGGAGAAAATCAAACAACGCAGATCGCGACATCTCTTCTGATGCTTGCAAACATGTTGAATCACGTTTTCTTTCTCTATTCGAAAACTTCCCGGAAAGCGAGAAAACTAATAATCACACACGTATAAACGTCCGGGAGGCAGAGCTTTAGCGATAATCCGGCAAATGCAGCCGAAAACTATGAGAGCGAACGCACGCACAAAACAGAGAACAAACTTAAAACACAACCGTATCCAAAGGCGTTCGAAACTGCACCCGCACTTTAGGTGAATCATCCTGTCGCAAAAAAGCCATGCAGGAGACGGATTCTTCATCGCCTTTAACTGGTTTAGCGCATTGGTCACAGGCGGAAGTCATGCTGACTCAGTTTCCAAAAGTGATTTAGAAACAGCGGTGGAGATGCTCTAATACGCAAAGAGGAATTGGATTCTCAAGATCGCCCAATGCTAGACAGTATACACTACAATATGTCTGATTGGATAACTTTTTCACTGTTTTCACAACACAAAATATGCTCTAATTAGACGATTATCGCAACGAACTGCACTTTCCACTAACAACCAGTACAATATTACAGGTATACCGAACGGAAAAAAACCAAATAACGATAGCCCGTGTGATAAAAAATCGATAAATTTAGCAGCGCACAATCACGACAATGTGAATAACAACTGTCAAATGTTTTCGATTTCTAAAATCAACACTCAAAATGTTACCCTTAAATTAAATTGCAAAGTAATCAAACAAGTGTCAAATCAAATCTTTAAAAGCTAAACAAATTTATTCATACCAATGAAAAAGTACGATTAATTCATTGCAATAATCACTAATGATTGAAGACATACTCAACAAAAAACTTAAAGATCAAAATAAACGGGTCTGAGGAAAAGCAACTAAAGCGTATTCGACCGCTGACTTGATATTAATCCGTTTTTTACTTGATAACCATTTTAAAGCTTAATTTGAACTTTCCAAAATATTAGCTCATTCTAGAAACTGTAATCATATAATGAGAAAGCCACGAACGAGTTCTCATTTTTGCTATGGAAAAAGGCGTCAATTTGTGAGCGGTGCTAAGAAGACGTAAACAAAGGCAAGAAAATGAATATATTTCAAGCAAAATAACTTGAAAATTGAGAGTCATCGATTCCGCACCACTCATCTATGAACCAATGATGAGAGATGAAATTACCCTTCCTTCGATGTGCCGATGAGTAACTTAGTAAGGCTCGTTCGCATTTCACTGCTCAGGATAAGTTGTTCGTCGGAAATAATTTGGAAGCAATCGAGTTGAACTTTAGCTGTATGTTATTCCTCCTGGAACGGAACAGCCCATCAAAGCTAGACATATTATGTTCATCTATAACAGCTTTCATTGAATGGTGCTTTCAGACGGGCTCTACCAACCAGAGCGCAGAGCGGCATTATATCGTCTATTCAATTGAAATGCGATGCGGATTTTCGCTGGAAATGCTATTCCTTTTGTTTCGACTTCCTTACATGAATCCACTTGCAGAATAGGAAAATTCCGAGTCTGCAGGCTGACAGATTTATTGACCGTGCACAGTTAATGTTGTAGTTTTAAAGTTCACGCCCTGTCACCTCGATGCATAGAAATTAAATTAATCACAATTCGGTTCCTTTTTTTTCCATATGAATGATTGCTGCGGGAGAAAAATATACATGTTCCGATCAATTTATAACCTCACGTGGCACACCCCTCAGGGAATACAGTAATCTCTCCATAGATGCGGTGGGTAGTACCGAGCAAAATTCTCGGCTGTCATTCAAGCAATTGAGCTGATTTAACTTGACACTAATCACATACAAAAAATCAGCGTAATTGGTTGAAGGACAGCCGAGAAACAGCGGTGGGTGAACGGTACCACCCATCGCATATATCGAAGCATTACTGTAGGTTTAAAGGTGAGGGAGGCAAGTCAAATTGCAAATAAAATGTGCAGGCAGATGCATGTCATTGAACCAATCTACCGGAATCAATCAAATTGGAAATGAATACTGGAGTAATACAAACATTCGTTTGATGTCTACATGTTTGATAGCTGTTGGAAAAACAGAGCCATTTGTTTGTATTTAGTCAAGGTAATAAATGATTCTGGAAACACTGATTGGCTGCAACTTCCAGTCAACGTCATATTGGGGAATTTATATCAATTGGACAAGTATGGCAGCAACAGGGACCATTTCGGCTGTTTTAGACAAAAATAAACTCATAATTTCGTCAGATTAATAGAAATATAATTGTCTACTTTTAACCTTCAAATTTTTTATCTTTGTTTAGAAAATTAACAAATTAACATGCATTTAAGAACACACAGATGTTAAGTTTAGATAAAACTACCACCCAATCAAAGCTTCCCGCATAAACGCGAACCATAAATTGACCTTACCGAAAATGGTTAAAAATTGTTTATAATCCCTGCTAAACTTCAACTGAAATGGTTATGGAACTTTACAAGAACGTTTAATGATAAAGTTTTAACCTTATGTATTATGGTTTTTTGGAAGCGGACCTTACAAATAATGAGTTGTTAAGAACCATTACCATTCAAAATTCTTGTTTTCTCCATATATTTTCGGGAGGAGGACTATATTAGAACCTTTTAACTTATGGTTTGAGAACATTAATGGTTATGGTTATGGTATTCAGTAAGGTCCATGAATAGTTTTGTAACATCGATCAACTTTATGTGGAATATATCGCGAATTGGTTGCCTGTAAATTACTGATTACCAATTCACGATATATTCCACGTAAAGTTGAGCGATAATACAAAACCATTAATGGACCTTACTGACTATCATAACCATAACCATTAATGTTCTCAAACCATAAGTAAAAACGTTCAAATATAGTTCTCTTTTCGAAAATGTATGGAGAAAACAAGAATTTTGAATGGTAATGGTTCTTAACAACCCATTATTTGTGAGGTCCGCTTTCAAAAAACAATAATACATAAGGTTAAAACTTTATCACACAAACGTTCATGTAAAGTTCCATAACCATTTCAGTTAAAGTTTAGGAGTGATTATAAACAGTTTATAATTAATATCGGTAAGGTCAAGTTATGGTTCGCGTTTATGCGGGTTTACTTACTAGAACGTTAACAGTCAAAATTGTTACTCGGTACTGTTACTGAAAAAAAAAACAGTAACCATGGTAATCTAATGTCAATCAGGTCATTTCCCCAACATTCTATTCTATGTCTATGTTTTAGACTTCTAATTTCAAACGTCGAATAATGGCTACATATTACAACAGCTCTAGCATTGCGAAGCAACAAGCCTATACGATCGAAAACTTCCCATTTATTCAGCTTTTTCTTCATCAATTTTCTATCTAAATATCTGCTCCTTAAAACACATTAACTTTCATATGTACTCACGAATATCAAAATATATAGCACATTCGAAATGTACACTTTTTGCTCACATCAGCTGTCTTTCCCATAATTCAGATCTTCCGCCCGAACTATTATAAACATTGAACGTCATCACGGTCCCGGTCGCACGGAAGGGTATTTCTTTGATCTAACTGGCCAAAAGTCGATTTTTCAAAATAACCTGAAAAGTAGGTCATTGTGTTATTCAAAACAGTGTCGAAAAGTGACACTTTTCCAGTGCTAAAAAATGCTTTTTGCAACTTGTTTTTCGTCATGCGCTGGAATGACATTATGTCCCTCTTTACCTAACTATAACCACAACACCAAAAAGTACTACTTTTCGGCACTGAAAAATAAACACTTCTCCAAAAAGAAGCAACACCCTCAAAACCTGACCCACCCCTGTTTGGCCTAAAATCATAATAATTCTATAACAAAAAAGTGCTTTTCGTAAGTTATACAAGTGATGGTTTAATATTTTTGGCCAGCTAGAATAAGCAAAATACCACACTGTGGATCGTCTTGGTCATCGTCCTCGTCGGTCGAAAAACTCAACTAGGTACCCATTAATATCTTTCGCACAATAAAATCTAAGCTTCGCTTCGATCCCAGACCCAGGCTTGCAAAGCCCCATGCAAGTGCTATTTTTTTATCGACAGACAAACCTCCCAAAGCCGGTTGTCTTCAGCACCATCGTAGCAGCAAGTGCCACCGCCGTCGTCGTCGTCGTCGCTAGCCACCACCGGTGGCGGTGGAGGGTGGCGGAGCCCGAGCAAATCTCGTTCTCGATTCTATCACAGTTGAGAAAGTGCCGATCCATGGACAGCACCTTGGCAATCTTCCGCAGGAACACGGCCGACTCGGGTTTGCACTTGTACTTGGCACTGGTGAAGACACAGTTTTCGTAACCGAAGCGGGCACTGCGGAAGGTAGAAGAAGACGAAAAAGCGATTTCGAATGAGAATGTGGTAATTCTAGGCGGATAGAACACAAGGCGAACGACGAAATGATTCCCTCTGTTGGGACGTGGCGGGGGCGAAATTTATTCTTTCGGAAGAGTTAAGTTGATTGAGAAGGGGCTTTCCATCATAAATTCTGGGATTTTCTCGCTGTATCAGCACTGAACTGGTTTTTTTTGGGAAGTATCTTTTCAAGTTTATTCTGCTTGCATTTAATGTACTGCTAGATGAGGTTTTCGGTATCGAAAATGGCGCTACTGAAGTTTCATTTAGTATTATTAGGCATGCAGATTAGAATCTAGAATCTCGAAAACTTGAATTACAAATACGTTGCTTTGAAGCGTCACTTTCTTTTAGGTTTGTATTTCTCAAAGTTGATAATAGAAGAGTTAAGGCCGGCGCACAATGGATAAGTTTTCAGGTTTTTTGAGAGTTAGCCCATGCATTATCTGTCAAAAAACCCGGAAACTTATGCATTGTGCGCCAGCCTTTACGCAGAGTGAAGCTTGCAACGCTTGCAACAGTGATGTCGATCAATTGACATTTATTTTTTTATTTTGGTAACCTTTGTTTTTGTTTACACCTCGGATGACTTCACCAGAATTTTGAAATTTTTCTCTGGTATCCTGATTTGTGCAAACAATACTTCCCACGCAACAGAGTCAGTTTGTCTACTATACGACTATATATATTATTATTTTCCTCTGGCTAACCTAAATAATGTATGAAAGTAGACCTGTCAAAATGAGTTTGACATCGATTTGTTATGTATTTTTCTCGGATATTCACTAACACGCTACTACTACCACAAACGAAGTGACAGACGACTTACTGGCGAAGAAATCCATTAAAATAATGTGGTTCACTGTAATAGAATTTTCTTGGAAGCTTGTGCCATCATCCACCAGATGGGTTAGTTTTTTTGTTTTGATTTGAACAAAGTTGATTTTGAGTACAATGATTCTTTGACAGTGTGCAAAGAGTGCGTATCATTTTGTCATTTTTTTTTATGCATTTCAGTTTTGAGTAGAGTGAAAGAGATAGAACCAAAACATTCTAGTACATTCGGTTAAAATGCTAGTTCAATCTAGTAGTAGTGTTGCCATGTTGTACAATCCAGTAGTAGTGGTGTTGCCATGTGGTACACTGAAAAATTGCAATAGCAGGTTAGTCACCAAAGTTTTCGAGCCGCTCCGTCTGTCACTTCGTTTGTGCTACTACTACCAATACAACCAGACGTGAAAATCTACGCAAACTAACACAATCTTTGGGTTGGAGCAAGTTTCCCCTATCCGATGATGCTGGTAATTTGCGTTCGATTGGCGAGGAAAGAATAATCAACGTTTTGTTTATAAAAGTTTAAAGTATCTTTTCAATTGTTGGTCTACAGTATATTGAATTGGTTCCGCTTTTTGATAGATCGAAATTCTATCCGCCAGACCATAAAAATTGGTGTACTGTGTGAAATTGTGGTAGTGAAAATCTGAGGAAAATACATAACAAACTGCTATCAAACTCATTTTGACAGATCGAATTACATACATTTTGAGGTTAGCCCGAGGAAAAAACTAAACAACTTCATACGGCGATAGACCTCCGTTAGTGTGCGTGCGTTAAACGTCACTAATCTCTATAGTATTTCCATACACCGAAAAAAGTTTGCATGTAGCTTCCATTGGGGATGCACATGATTTTGATCCAAAATCAAAATTTATGGAATTCATCTGAATTTTACATAACATTTATGCGATCCCATTAAATTTATGTGATTTAACCAATTAATTTCATCGACCGTATAATATTATTGTAATTTTGTGGTGGGATTTGCTGCTATGTGATCACAGAATAGAGCTAATCTACACTGGCTTGACGAAATGGAAATAAATAAATAAACTATAGAGGAAGAATAGCGCTGCCCTCGCTGTCGAAACATCTTTTCCTTACATCTAATAGGGACATAACTAACAAAGCGAGAAAAAACTATGCAGTTTGACAGTTCTGTACCCGGTATTATTCCACATCAGAACAAAGGGAACACCAGCGCTATTCTTCCTCTATAGTATATTAGCTCTATTGATCACTGGAAAGCTATGTGGTATTCACATGGATTTCATCACTTAGATTTTTTTTTGTTCATTAATTTATTTGATAAGGCTCAACCGAATTAACTTTACAGAGCCGAGGATTCTTGGTCACTATACAATACATCTTAAAACTATAGTCAAAAGGTACAACACAATAAACACTTTATCTTCCGCTATCCAAAAAGCCTCCTCCATCAGAACTGGAGCCGCTTCCAGTGGTTTGATTGTATGGCAGTTATGCCATCGTGGGGCAAAGCGTCTCCATTGCAGCAATGGTCGCAAAACGTGGTCAACACTCACACACTCATCACGAAACGATTGCTTTCCAAAGTTGACGACGCATCGACCGAAAGAACTGCTGATGAAGAATAATGAGCAGGACCACACAATGGTTGCTGCCGAGAAAACAGACGATCGCGTGGCACACATCGAGAGTGGCCTGCTTTTGTCGAAAGCCGAGTGAACACTGACATCCATTAGATATATGATATTTTTTTTGAGTGTATGACTCATTACCAGGGATGCTAGATAGATTTTCAAATTGCCTGTATGAAAGCTAATGAAATGTCTGCATTTGTCTGTATCAGGAATACTTAATAGTAAAAGCGGTTGAGAAGGAAGTAGAGATTGTGTGACAGTTATTTCAAAGCAAGGTTGCAAATACTTACTTCGAATATCAAAATAATTCACATTCAATGCGAGAGGGATAAACACTGAATCTGCGTGGACCAATTGCTGTTCTTATAAATGTCTAATAAAATCCGCTCATAACAAATAATCTGCTCACTCAAACCATAATTTAAAGTAAACTTTGAACTAGGAATTTTCAACGAGAAGTATCTTAACTGATTTAGGAAGTCCGGAACATACACTAAAGCTGGGTTTAAACTAGGCAAGTCAAATGATCAACTCAGTTAAATTCAACTGACTTGAACGCGAATTGAACGTGTAAACTAACTTGATCAACTCACTTGAATTAAAAAAAAGTTGAACCAGGCTCAACTTTTCAACCCAATTGAATTCAACTGACTTGATCATTTGACTTGCCCTGTCTAAAACCAGCTTAAGAGTCGTATATTTCCATTAGGTTTCCAAAATGGGTATGTGATGTTATCCGGAACTACTTTTATGATTTCATGGACCTCATACTCTCTTTTTTTTTCATGATTTGTTTTCCGTCGATCTTGTTTTCCGTACTGAGTACCAATGCTACCGAAGACGCCAGGAAGGCAGTTGACACACTATCGATCCATCAATTCATGGACCGGGGACCAACGGCTTTACTTCCCTTCCGAAGGAAGGCGTGATCACAAATTTTATGTCTCCGAAAGTCCCGCCGACTTTTTCGGCGGACTGAGATTAATCCCAGGCCATTTTGGGGTGAGAGGCAATCACGCTTACCACTACACCACCGGTGCCGTTAACCGCATACCCTCAATTTTATTTAGGTCCCAGACAGTGTTGGCAAAATCATCAATCAAATTATATTTTTCCGCTCTCATACTTTTTTTTTTTTTTTTTTTTTTTTTTAATTCTTTATTAAAGAGATTTTTAGCCTTAGGCTAGTTCATCTCTAATCCGCTTTCATACGCTCTCAATATCACACGTGATATTGGAACAAAATATCATGCTTGATATTGATTTTACGAGCTCCTTTGATATTGCGAGACTATTCACAAACTGCAAAATCAAGCGGAGAGTTGACTAGACACAAAAATTATTCCGTTGCACATCGTTTTCTTAGAAAGAGAAAGTATAGTTTGCCGAAGAGAAAGTATAGTTTGCTATCTCTTTTTACTCTTCACCGATGTCAGAAGTGAAGTCACTGCTGCCAGCCATTTTGGAAGTTTCGATTGCGTTCGGGTGGAAAACAAAAATCATTAAACTCAATCTCACCACAGTTTGTTGAGATTTACAGCTGGTGAGTTTTGTTAGCTTGATATTCCGAGCTGCGATATCACAGCTGGCAAAATCAACCGCAGCTGTATGCTAGTTGATTTTTGTCTACGAAAATCAAGTGTGATCTTGGGCATTGGTGAGATTTGATTTTTTGATATTTTGCCAACACTGGTCCCAGATGACTCCGCCTAAGGCTGAAGTCTCCCTAAATAATAATAATTATTATAATTTTGTTGAGGTTCTTGGGACTTATTCAAAGCTTTAAAGTAGTGAAGTTACCTTAAATTTCCGGTAATATTCTTAGATTTCACTAAGGGTTTCCAAAACATTTACAATAATTACTATTTTTTTTAAAGGTCTCTTAATTTTCTTGAAAAAGCCTGTACTATTCTATAATTGATTTGAACTTCTCTAAAACTACCGTAAGCTTCTCTGGAATTTCTTCGGATGTCTCCAAAGAACCTTTCTGAGGTTCTTCTTTTCTTAATTTTCTCTAAGGTCTTTCAGACATTCAGTGTTATGAGCGAACTTTAACGCTTGATCACTGAATTATGCTGAATTTAAAATTCAGGAAGTTACTCAAACAATTTCCAGACTCTCTGGAATTAAACTTCTTTCTAAAATTCACCAGTACATCTTTGACGTGTTCTCTGAGTTTTGCTGAGATTTTCTATGCAGAAATGCAGTCTTCAAAACTATCAGGATATACCTATCTAGTGGAAAAAAAATAAACGGAGTCTATCCCTATCCACATGTTTTTCTATCCGTATTGATCCATCAATATCAATATCCATATTGATCTATCAATATGGGTATTTTTGGAATCGGAATGACGTCTAGAGGCCGGAAATCGATATGCGACGTCAATTTTAAATCCACCATGACGACGGCTTTCGATTTTATGAAAAGTGGGATATACTGTCAAATACCCATAAATATGGATATTTTAGGAATCAGGAAGATCAGAAATCTATATGCGACGCCATTTTGAAATCCAAGATGGCGGCTTCCGGCTTAAGAAATAGTGGAAAATACTGTCAAATACCCATCAATACTGGTATTTTTGGAATAGGGATAAGATCTAGAGAATTAAAATCAATATCTGACGCCATTTTGAAATCCAAGAGGTTGGTTTTCTATTTCAGAAAAGTGGGAATTACTGTCAAATGCCCATCAATATGGGTATTTTTGGAATCGGGGTATGGCCTAGAGGCCGGAAATCGATATCCAACGCCATTTTGAAATCCAAGACGTCAGCTTACGGTTTCAGAAAAAGTGTAAAATTCCCTTCAATATGAGTATTTTTGAAATGGGTCGACACTTATATGCCAAAAATCAATGTCCGATGCCATCTTGAAATACAAGATGACGACTTCTGGTTTCAGAAAAAGTGGGAAATACACTGAAACCTCCGTTTACGAAGTCTTTTTTTACGCAGTATTCAATTTACGTCCCTCTTTTTACGAAGTAAATCCCAAATAACGAGTTTTCTTTTTACGAAGTAAATTCCAAATAACGAGTTTTTATGTGATTTTAGGAAACTGGGATATGTAATGTGAAATACCCTACAATATGGGTCTTGTTTGAATCGGAGTGACGTTTAGGGACCGGAAATCGATGTCTGACGCCATTTCGAAATCCAAGATGACGGCATCCGGTAACATAAAAGCTTGAAAATTCTGTCATATACCCCACAATATGGGTATTTTTGGAATTGGAGTGCCGTTTAAGAACCTGAAATTTATGTCTGACGCCATTTCGAAATCCAAGATGGTGGCTTCAGGTTACAGAAAAATTGGCAAATACCACCACGTCACCCCGATTCTTAAGATACCCATATTGTAGGTTATTTAACTTTATTTTTATGTTTTTATGTAACCGGAAGTGGCCATATTGAAATTCAAATTGGCGTCAGACATGGGTTTTTAGTCCTAATAAGTCACCCCGATTCCAAAAGTCCCATATTGTGGAATGTTCGACAGTATTTTCCAGTGCTTCTGTAACCGGATGCCACCACTTTGGATTTCGAAATGGCATCAGACATAGTTTCCCGGTTCTCACAGGTGGGTTATTTAACATTATTTTTCTGTTTTTATGTAACCGGAAGCCGCCATCTTGGATTTAAAAATGGCATCAGACATTGATTTCCAGTCCCTACACGTCACTCCGATTCCAAAAATACCCAGTTTGTGGGGTGATATTGGACAGAATTTCCATGTTTTCCTGTAACCGGAAGCCGCCATCTTGGATTTCAAAATGGCGTCAGACATCGATTTCCGGTCCCTACACGTCACCCTGATTAAAAAAATACCCATATTGACAATATTTTCAAAAACCTCATTTTACAAAGAGGTTTTATGAGGTTTTTGTAGACCATGATTTAGACTTGCAGAATGCTTTAAAACCTCGATAAAACTTAAATTGTTATTTGAGTAGGGTTTTTTTTTAAAGCTTTATTAAATCTCTTTAATAAAGCTTTAAAAAAACCCTACCCAAGTAACAATTCAAGTTTTATTGAGGTTTTAAAGCATTCTTCAAGTCTAAATCATGGTCTACAAAACCCTCATAAAACCTCAATTGCTACTTGGGTAATAACGAGTTTTCTTTTTACGAAGTAAATCCCAAATAACGAGTTTTTTTTTACGCACTAATTCGATTTACGAACCCCCGTTTTGGTTCGTAAATGGAGGTTCCAGTGTACTGTCAAATGCCCATAAATATTGGTATTTTCGAAATCCCAGTGACATCTAGAAGCCGGAAACCGATCCCTAATAAGAAATACCATAAACGAATGATAACCCAAATGATTGAACTGTTCCATAAATGGTTTGAATGACACCCGGAATACGTCGCTAAGCAAAATACCCATCAACGTGGGGTCTTAGCTCAGCCGGTAAAGGGGCAGCTACAAAGCAAGACTATGCTGGAGGTGGCTGGGTTCGATTCCCGGTCCGGTCTAGGAATTTTTCGGTTTAGAAAATTTGTCGGCTTTCCTGGGCATAGAGTATGATTCTACTTGCCACACAATTATATTAATGCAAAAATGGTATATAAACTAATATGCATTAAGCAGTAAGCTAGAAATGCGATGATGAAGAAGAAGACCCGTCCATGCGGGTAGTTTTGGAATCGTCTAGACGTTTAGAGATCGGAAATCGATGTCTGACGCCATCTTGAAATTTCCGGCGTCTCCGTTCCGAAAATACCCATGGTGTAGGGTTTTTGATACTTTTTCTGAAACCCGGTGGCCGCCATCTTGGATTCAGAATGGGCGTCGGACATAGGCTTTTTCAATGCACCACCAATTTAGATGGCACCAGACGAATCCGAGCGGAAACGGTAACCAAACCATTTGTTTGCATCAGAATAAAGATTCTCACAACGCAAATTAAAGCATTTTTCATTGAACATCTTGCTTATTTCCATTGGCAATTGTCTTATTTTACTATTTTCCACAGACTTTAAATGATTCGTACATCTACTATTCACACACAAGATCATCCAGAAGATCACAACCGCTATGGTACTACAGGTACACCTCGATATAACGTAACTGTCACTTTTGACTGTATTCTAATTTTCCATTTTTCTCAACGAAAGTATTATTCAACGCCAGCACGATCCTTGCAAAAATGATACAGAATTACATTTTCAACTGTAGATCAAGTTTTGGAGCATCTCGCATGAATCAACTTATCATGAAAAGTGAAAAATTGTTGCACTTCCTATGTCTCACGGCAAATATGGCTGTTCACAATACTCTTCGCAACCAGAGGTTGAATCGATCGCTTAATTTCTAATAAAAAGGCGTATTGATTTTCGGCATCTACGCGTCGTTCCGTTCCGAAACTACCCATATTGTAGGGTATATGACACTTTTTCTGAGCCACCATTTGTTGTGTAATATAAAATCACAATTTGTTTGGGGTTAGGCTTCAATTAGCATTGTTTATCCATTCCAATCGACAGAACTGTTAAAAATGGTTTAAAAGCGTTTTTTCAACGTTAGTTTTACTGTTATATCGTAAAGACTGTAAAAGGCACGAGGGTAAAATATTAACCAGCGATACAATTTTTTAAAGCGTAAACAAATCATTAAAACAAATTCCCTGGCAATGGTTTTTCCTATTATTCCTTGCTATTTTCACCAACTGTGAAAATTTTCAAGGAAACATTTTTATTTTTTATGGATTGCTGAGATAATTTCCTTGCAATTCACTGCACAACGTTTTTTCTACAATGTTCGGTTCATGAGATACACATTTTCATAGTTTGTGATGTCCGGGAAATTCCAAGAACTTCAACCAAAATTTTCTGAGAAAATTGACCACCTCGAGTTTTTTGATCTTTGTTTTCGATCATATAATCTTAAACTCTACAAGTGGGAAAAAATTAATAAAATTCGGAGAACAACACCCTGTTCGAAAAATACAAGCATTTTAAACATTCTCTTACACACCTCACCGTGAAGAATTTTGAAACTATCATCAGAAGAATTTACCCCAAAATTTAAACTCCGTTTGCTCAATTTAACAATAAATAAATTGTTACTTATATAATGAATAAAAATCTGCTCAAATCTGAGTTAATGTCACGTTGATTTAGGTTTCAAACATTTGAAAAACGTGTTCATGAAAATTTAATTATTTGACTCTAATAATGACCGAACGTCACTTACCAGCAAAAGTGCATGTACTGCACATTCAGTGACTGCTGCGTTGTTTTGGTCATCTCGTCCTTCATAATATTGACGAACTTGTGGGAGCACGTGTCCCAATCGTTGTGAACGTGGTGGAAGCAATTTTTGTGCTTCAAGAATTCTGCGAATCAATGCAAAGAGAAAAATCCCAAATCATCATTGCAATCAATCGAAAGGCATTCCTGCTGATTCCCTACGCAACCGTACCTTTCTGGAAGGGAATGTCCCGGCAGAGATGTTCGTACATCTTCTTCGCCCCAAACACCTCGTTCTCGATGATTTGCCGATTCTTGGCCTCGATGCACGCGTTGAGATAGCGCTGAACGCACGCCATACCCCGGTTGAAGACGCTGGGGGGAGGAAATAAGGAATGATTGGAATCCATGAATCATCGGAAAGATGCAATCTACAGGGAATTACTCACTGACAGCGTTTGATAATTTCATCCTCCGATTCGGGAATTTTCACCGAGTACAGCTCATCGACCGACACCGGCGGGGTGATATTGTGGAAGCAATTATCCATCATCAGCGCAACCTGACCGCACACGGGCTCCGGAAGGGGACTGAACGGCTCCTGCTGATGCTGGGAATCTGAAAAATGGATGCGAAATGGAATCATCAGTTAAATGGATGCGGTTTTGTGCATTTCAGATGGTTCGTGTAGAGAGGTATGTGGTTTGCTACGATAGACAGGTTATAATCAGATCCGTTCTGCTGTCAGTCAGCCATCAACTCCAACTATATCTGTAGTCTGCAGGTATATGATTATTATTCATAAACGCTATTTTATTGTTATCATTATTATTATTAATATCACCAGAGTCGCACAGACTGAAAATCTTATGGGGGACTTTATGTATTCTCGTCATTCTAAGCAGCGCCCGCTCTTCTACAACAAGCAAATATTTAAGCATTCCGCTAACAGCAACCCAATTTTATTACTTCATTACCAAGTCTTTGAGGATTTTCCTTATTAGAGAGTTGTATAGATGTTTCCCCTTTACCAACATTAATTAAGTGGAATTAAATGGAAGGTAACCTTTTCTTGCTGTTTTATTGAAGCATTCTGCTAACAACTCAATTTCATTACTTCGCTGTGAAATCTATATACTTTTCAAAAAGCTATAATCTGAATACAGTCCAAATTCGCTGGTTGGGCTTTTAATACTTAGGCTGCTTTTTAGTTGGGCCTCCGCTGGATTGGGCCATGATTCAATTAAAAAGCAACTGGATGTCAAAATCTCTAGATCGAACATAAATTCATTCAAGGGGTGATCATATGCCTGAGTTTATTTTAAATTTTAAAATGAAACATAAACAAAAATTGTGCACATCATATGTTTTGTCAGTTTCAATCAACTTGTCTCAATCCGCTTTGATTGAATCCGCTTTTAGTGAAATCTTATCAACCACAATAAAGGATGCATACACCCCCCGAAATTTTTTAGCCTTCTGTCAGTTGACCCAACTTACGAATCGAATTTGTTAGTTGGGCCGAGGTGTTGGCCTAACCAGCGCATTTCAACTGTTTATAGATATCTGTATCAAAATATTGAAAAAATCTGTATGATTACCTAATGTGGCATCACTACTCCGATCTGTTGATGTTTAGAATACCGATGCTTGATATTAAATATGAAGGGGTTCCTGGGGTAAAATACACCAGTTAAGGAAATCAAGGTGTCTTCCAGTTAAAACTTAAAGCAATAGTGAATATTTTAAGCCAGTGTTGCTTTGAGCCACATACCAAAAACATGGAGAAAGGTTCGAGTTGTTTTCATTCCAAAAGCTGGAAAAAGGGATAAAACGACTCCGAACGCCTTTCCTCTGTTCTGTTAAAAACAATGGAAAAATAGTGGATGACTTCAATAAATCAACAAGATTTGCAAATTTCAATTCGCTTATCAATCAGGTAAATCTACGATAGCGGCATTACAATAGCTGGTTAATAAAATCGAGAAATCGCTTGAAACCAAGGAAATAGCCGTGGTTGCTTTTCTTGATATTGAAGGAGCATTCGATAATGCATCCTACAGCTCAATGCGTTCAGCTATGGAAGCAAGGGGCTTGGATAACTGCATTATCGAAAGGATAATGGTGATGCTCACAGATCGAGAAACTTCTGCTGATCTTGGAGGTGCGCAACTAACTATAAGATCGATGAAGGGTTGTCCTCAAGGAGGGGTACTATCACCCTTATTGTGGCCTTTAATAGTAGACGATCTCCTTAAAAGTTTAGCGGAAAAAATATGTTGACACAGCCTACTCTAGATGGAGTTCGAATTCAGTTCGCGAATGAAGTTAAATACCTAGGTGTTACTTTGTATAGGAACCTGAACTGGAACTCTCATCTTGACAAGGTGGCTACAAATGCGCTATGGGTCTGTAGTAAAGCTGTGGGGAAAACGTGGGGACTACGACCGAATATGGTACAGTAGATATATTCGACCATAGTTCGACCAAAAATTACCTATGCTTCACTGATATGGTGTCCCAAATCAAATGAAATAAAGACTGGACTCGGAAAAAATGAGACACACAAAAATGATCACCAAAAATTCATTTTAAATCGGATGCTTCTCAAATTTTCAGGGATTAAATAACTATATATTAGCTATGTTTTGGCATAATTTATTTATTGAATTTCATCCCCCAAGCTGAATGCTCGTACATTTCTCTTAACACTGCTCATGAGATCTTGGGCGAGGCTTTGCCCATCTTCCTTACACAATTTCTCCCAGTTTTTCTTCAAAGATTCATCGGTTTTGAATGTTTTTCCGCTTTTCTTCAACTTCTTCTTCATTATCGCCCAAAACTTTTCGATCGGACGAAGTTCTGGTGTATTTGGCGGGTTCGCCTCCTTCAGGACCACATTAACGCCCTTCGCTTCGTACCAATCTATTACAGGCTTGGCGTAATGGTACGAAGCGAGATCCGGCCAGAACAGCGTGGGACCACGGTGAGAGCGGAGGAAGGGCAGCAAGCGCTTCTGCAAGCATTCCTCTCGATAAATCTGCCCGTTTATGGTGCCGGTTGTAACGAACGGCTTGCTGTACCGTCCGCACTCGCAGATCGCCTGCCACAACAGGTACTTCTTCGCGAATTTGTCCATCTTTCTCTTCGGGAACTTTTCCGGAACCTCCATGCGGGACGTACCGACAAAAAAACTCGAGGCCGGGGATTTGTTTGATGTATGTTTTGTCGTCCATGACGAGACAGCCTGGCTTGACCAGCCACTCACGGTTACAGCTTCCGCACACGCAATTTGGCCACCGTGTTTTGCTTGTCAGTCCGATTTGGCACCTTCCTGACCTTAAAAAACACGTAGCCCAGCCCGCTTCATGGTCTGCTGGACGAACCACTTCGACGAATTGACCTTTTTGGCCACGTCTCGGTTGGAAAGGTTCGGGTTATTCTTAAAGTACTGCCTTATTTTCCGCGTCTTCTCTGGGTATTCTTTTTTCGGTTTGCGGCCGCTTCCAAGCGCTCGATGATCTTCGTCTCCTGGAACATCTTCACAACGCGGGACACGGTGGAATAGTGGATTCCAAGCATTTTGCCGATCCATCTGTGCGACTGACCAGGATTATAGATCACCGCACCCAACATTTGCTGGCGCAGCTCTTCTTGTTTCGAATGCATCTTGAAAACTACTTGACAGATCAAGAGATGAACTAGCCTAAGGCTAAAAATCTCTAAAATAAAGATAAAAAAAAACTTGACAGATCGCGATAAATTTTGGACACATATACATGACACTCTAAACTAGTATTACGCAAAATTTCATTATTTTTTACCCACGCGAAAAAAAGTTACACCCAAACCAAAGTGTCGCATTTTTTCCGAGTCCAGTCTTTAACCACTCAAAATAAGTTAAGAAAAATACAAAGACTTGCTTGTATATCAATGACAGGAGCAATGAGAAGCACATCATCAGATGCTTTGGATGCCGTTCTCAATATTTTGCCCTTACACCAATTTGTTAAACTACAGGCAGCAAAAAGTGCTTTTCAGTTTAACCGTCAAAATAAACTTTTAGATGGTGACTTGGTAGGATATCTAAAGATCCTTAAGGATTTCAAGTTAAATTCAGCTGTAAAAACAATAGAAGATTGGATGGTAACAAACTACGATGTTCCCTTCAAATGGTTAAACTCCCAGGTTAAACCAATCCACCATACATGGGAGTCTGGTGGGCCAAACATACGTCTGTATTTTACACCGACGACTCGAAGATGGGTGAAGATACTGGAGCTGGGGTCTTTGGCCTTGGGTTCAAGCAGAAATTCAAGCAATCATAGATGTCAATCGAAGCTTGTGTGGGCATGTAATCTGAAAGTAACGAGCCAGACGGGCTACGTTCAAAAACCCCTAACCCCTGCTCAAGCCACGGAGGTCGTCTGGGGTGGGCTTCATCCGCCTATTTTTTGGGTTGGCTCACCTTTTAATTCTCAGGGTCGGCCACCGACCTCGGAAGGGCTCAGAATCAATCGATCACTTACCTTACACGTCAACAACTAACCACCGAACGGACTACAAACCCTCATCTGCCGAACAGACTGGCTCTTTCGAAAAAAGGAATAATAATCAATAGAGAGAGAATTTAATTTCAAATGTTTATTTGAGCCGTTCTGTTTAACCGTTGCAGCGCTGGGTCTCGTTGGTGGTGGGAGTCGAAAGGATGGATGGGTGATGAAACGTACCTTTCGCAGTGTTAGCCGAATAGTGCCGGCGGGCTTCGACGGATGATACAAGCGGCGACGGCGGCGGTACTTTCAGCAGCGATGGCCGCAGGGTTGCTACGGCGGAGATGTGTGCCGTCCGTATTTTTGCCACGTGGGTTCCAGGTACAGTGGAGTCGGTCGAATCCACTCTGAGACCGTTAACGGTAGGTCCCCAGCGGAGGTAGTCGGGTTAAGGTTAATCTGCCTACACGCTAGGAAACGGCGTGGCGTGCAGCAGAACGGGCGCGTGAGTATCGGTGGATCTTCTGCTATGACCCCGTATAGCGTGGTGCGGACACTTAATGACGAACTGTTCGTACTTTATTCGCGTTACTTGTTAAGTAACCGATCCAATAACTCACGATTTAGCTCCTCGGAGCGTCACTTGCACCAAATCGACCGAACTTTAATCACTTTTTGTGAGGAATTTTTATATACACTTAATTGTTTCCTGGTCCCGACAAGAGTGATCGAGGCCTTCCCGATCCACTCCTATCCAAGCCATCCATCTCCAATTCCTTTTCTCTTCCATACCATCCTCTTTTTTTCACTCCCGGATCCAATGCTGATGTGATGACTCCAATTCCCTCTTTGATCCGCATTACTCCAACAAATGTTTTTTATACCACTTCACCTCTGGCGGTGGCTCCATAGTAAAATTAATTTTGAATTCATTTTAACAATGCTAGGTATCATATTTATGATTTTATATTTATGTTTTACTCGCAGTTTTCTATTATTTACAAGAACCAGCTCAAAAGGAAAAGTTTTAATTAATATTTAAATTCAAGAATACTTAATAAACAAAACGTAACTATAAATTCGGACAGATGACGGTTTATTGTTCCGGATTCTGTGAATCGGTAA